CAAGCAAAAAACAAAGGCATTAACGAAAAACCTTACAAACCAACAAGAGAAGGAATTAGAGGATAAAATGGATATACAAATGACAAAAAAGATAAAATATTTAGGAATATGGCTCACTAATAAAGGATCATCGATTAGAGAAGATAACTACAATAAATTGACAAGACAAATAAAAGAAGATTTAGAAATTTGGAGTAAATTATAATTATCATTCCTTGGAAAGATTGCCTCGATTAAAATGAACGTGCTACCAGAATCCTATATCTATTTCAAGTGATTCCGATAAAACCGGGAAAGAACTTCTTTAAAGATTTCAACAAATTAATTGCAAATTACATCTGGCAGGGGAAGAAAACAAGGATCAAAATAGAACACCTACAAGATACAAGGGAGAGAGGAGGACTAGCACTACCGGACTCAGAAACATACTATAAAGCATTATCACTGATTTGGATTAAAGACTGGATAGAACTCAAAAATAAAAGAATACTGACACTAGAAGGATTTGATCTACAAAAAGAATGGCATGCATTTCTGTGGGAGGGAAAAGATAAGCAACATGGATATTTCCAAAGACACATTATCAGACAAGCATTGTTCCAGACATGGCAGGAGATAAAAAAGACACACTACGATAAAATTCTGGAATGGCTATCGATTATGGAGGCACAGATCTATCCTAATGCTATGGACATTGCCAAAATGAAAACCTAAAAAGACCTGCTAAATAACCAAGGGGAACTAAGATCGAGACAAGAACTGAAAGAAATGGGTACAGACATTGATTGGTGGCCATACTTGCAAATAAAATCTATATATAAGACATATATATATGTCTTATATATTTGGATTTCAAAAAGGACCACATGAATTAGATAAAATTTTACAAGGGACAGACAATAAATTGATTAAAAAAACCTACAATTACCTACTAAGATACAAATTAGAAGAAGTAGTGGTTAAAGAAAATATGATAATTTGGGTGAAAAATTTCAGATATAACATTGAATTGGAAAAATGGGAAAAATTACGGAACACAAATTATAAACTAACAATGTCTACACTCTATAAAGAAAGCATGTACAAAATGTTCTATAGGTGGCACCTCCCACTGGCCAGACTGGCAAGGATATTCCCAAATACCTCCCCAATATGCTGGAAATGCAACTCCAAAAAGGAACCTATTACCATATGTGATGGTCCTGTCAGAAAGCAAAACAATATTGGCAAATAATTAGAATGCAGATAGAAGAAATTACACACCAAAAAATAGAAATGAGGCCAGAAATTTTTTTATTAAGAATAATTACAGGACAATATGAAAAAGAAATAAAATATTTAATCATCCACATATTAACAGCAGCACGAATAGTCTTGACCCAAAATTGGAAGAATAATGATATGCCAACAGAGGATAGAGTAATTAGTAAAATTATGGAATGTGTAGAAATGGACAAACTTACAAAGGAAATACAAGAAAAAGAGGAAAAGGATTATTATTTAGTATGGGAGAAATGGTATAATTGGTTGGAGAATAAAAAAGAAAAAAGATATGGAAATATATGAGAAGATATAAAGTATAGATAGGAAATCAAGTACCAATTTAGGTTAATAGTAAATTAAAAATGTTGATTAAGAGAATATATAGAGACGATGTATTAGGAATATAGATATAAGAGATGGCTAAAATAAGGAGGAGAAAAGGTATAAATATGAATATGGATTACCGATGCGATAAGTTGAAAAGAAGATGTATAGGTGGATTTTTGTTTATTTGTATGTTTTGTTGTTGTTTGTTTGTTTGTATTTTATAATAAAAAAAAGAAAAAGAAAAAAGAAAACAAAAGTTGGTGGTTTGGACTAGAGTAACCTTTTTCCAGCAGTAAATACTAGTGTTCTTCACCTTCTGCTTTCTTTTCACAAACATCTGTGAAAAAATCCTTGGGGATATGGCTAATTGCACTAATAAGAATTCAGCTGAGTCTGTCCCAACCTCCTCCTTCTTATTTAATCCATATGATAATTAGCTCGATGGAGCAATAGATCTGGGTGGTAAGATGCGAGTTTGCTTATTAAATCTGGTCCCTTTAGAGACCAACCAGCTGGAAAAAAATAGATGTGTGAGATTCTTAGGTCCCTTAGTAGAATATTTACTAGAAATTGACATGGGATTTATGCCAATACCTTTGTTGACAAAGTTCCTTATTGCTGTATTTTTCCCCAAAAAAGGAAAAGAGAATGTGTTGCCAGCTAAACATTCCCTAAATATTCACCTCTTCGATACGATCAGTAGCACTTGGAATATTCAGTGTGAAAAGAACTTGAGAGCGTATAAAAAAATCACAACTAGCTACAGTGATCAGCCTCCAGCTGTACATGTTCCAGGCAATGCTAACAAGCTCTGCAGCAGAATATTTACATAGCAGATGTCCCTAGTAGAAAGTCATCTGGGGCACACTAAGGATGTTTTTTCCGAAGCCTATTAAGCAACTGCATAAAGTAGCATTGGCAACATTTGAGGCCAGATGGTACATTTGTAATTTTGAGACCATGTTGTAGGTACTCTCACAAAATGGCTGCCATGGTTCCCATGCCTATCCTGTTATAAAATTCTCATTTAGCAGAAAAATTAATGATCTTAATGCCCTCTCCTACCTTCTTGGATGCCCTCTGCTACCCTAATTATCTTCTGATCTTTTTCTGGGCAGGCAAGCACACTTGGGAGTGAAATTTATATGGGAATGACACTAGTCCTCAAAACGATGCTAGAAGATTGGCACGTTTCTCATGCATTTCTAATTACAATAAACATTTTAACAATAAAAAAAATCAGCTGGGCAGAAATCCTACTGGATATAGATTGCCTACAGGAGGCTTAGGGATGATTGGAGGAAGCTACTCGCAGGTCACTTTCAGGATCCCCTCCATCTTTTATCTTTACAATAAAAAAAATAGGATTTGTTATGACCCTGACTCCCGAGCCTGTCCTAACAGAGGAGGAGGACTCAGAAGGTGATGGGGAGGAACTGACAAGGCCTCCCTCTCCAGGACCCTCCTTTCTGGCAATGCCTCAGGTTCCATCCGAAGGCCAGGAGGAACAGCCTGGGATGTGCCAGGAGGAAGGCATATCGAAGCACCAATTGATAGGGAGTGAGGATGATGAATCCTGGCTTGATCCCAGGCAGCATCGGAGGGAGAAGCGTGCGCAGCAACTGAAGAGGCATGGGAGGGCCAGAGATTGAGCTGAGTCACGGAGCCACGCCCCACCAGGAATAAAAGTGGGTGGGATTGCTCTTCAGGCTTTGTGATGGACAAAGTTAAACCCTGAAAGTCACATCGTGATCTCTGAAATTCGGCTTGGATATATTTTGGACTGAACATTGCCTAACTCTTGTCTCATGGATAATTTGTTGCTCCTGGAACGGACTGAAGATAAGTCCTCTTCTGCTTTATGGGAGTGAAAACGGTCTTGGCAGGCATTCGGCAGTTTGCTGCCAAAACCTTGGTCTGCCAGGAATTCTAATCTGTTTACCTAATAAAATATTGGCAGGTGTGCTTGGTATTACATTTGCCTGTAATACCAAGGGGGACAGAACAGGATTCTTAAAACTCAGTGTTTCTCATTCAGCAAATTCCAAATTCATCTTGCCACATGAAACAAGTTGCTCATTCTTATTAGGGTAAAGAGCTCCTCTACTTTCCGCCGAGTTTGGTTTTGAGGAGAAACCTCAGAGGGTACACAATAGGTGGTAAAGTTGATGTCTTGGAAAAAGAGGCTGTTAGAGGAAGGGGGTTGATGAAACCTCCCTGGATGATGCCTAATAGCACTGGACTGGTTGGGCAAACAAAGAAAGGTTGTTATGAGTGAGCCTCACAGGTGACCAGGGAGTTGGGTAAGAACTGCCCATGGCAATTGGCCTATGCCATAATTTCCTGAGAAATTATGTAGAGGAATTAGCCACTCTCCATATTTCCTGAGAAATACAATCACTTTAAGAAAGAAGGTAGGGGTTTCTCCTCTTTTTTTGTCCCACAGAATGTATGCTTAGAAAAAGAAAAAAAGGCTTCAGCTTGTTACGTTGAGTTGCAAAAAATGGAAAGATGACCCAAATTGAAATAAAGCATATCTATATACCTTAGATTCAGAGTATCTCCTCTACATAAAATCTGAACTGTTTCACCATGTTAATCTTCTGATTCATATAGCTGGGAGGTCCTTGTTGCTTCTCTTTGCTGGGATTTAATGGATAAGAGATTTTTTTTTTAATGTGGCAATAAATATTGTGTACCTGTGAAAAATAATTTCTCAAAAAGACTGTGAAAGAAGACTGGGGCTGACTGAACAATCAAATGTTAAATGGAGCCATATTTATTACTTCAGCACCTCCTCCATGTGATGTTGCTGTTATCCAGGGGTGGGTTCTACTTACCTTTACTACCAGTTCATATCGCACCCGTGCGCACGTGCGCATGCTTGCTTTGCTCGCTCGCACTCTTCTGCGCAAGCGCAGATCACCTATGATGATGTCTGGGTCAGTGGTCGGAGCCTCCCGCCAGTTTTACTACCGGTTCTTGTGAACCGGTCCGAACCAGGGGCAACCCACCACTGCTGCTATCAATGTATTAGTGTAAATCCTCATTCTTCCTTTGGCAGGGAAGTAAAAACAGATTTTGAATCCTTGCCTCCAGAATAAAAGGTTGGTTGGAGACTGTGACTTTTCCTTTTTGAAAACAGTACAGCATGTTGTGATGGAAGCTAACTCAGCACCAGTCTTTATCCACCAATATTTTTGATGGCTGCTGCTGTATAAGGGAGAGAGAATTTTTATATATGTAATGAAGCAAGAAGCTAATCCATTGAGGGGGATAATCTGGCTTTCTATAATGAAGACAATGTTGCATGGATTCTGCAGTTCGATGTTATTGCTTCTCTATGATGTGTTATTCAAAATTATGTGTTTTCACCCTTCTGTCCTTGGCTCAATGAATATAGGAGTTAATTGTTTTACCAATGTAGACACTGTATTTTTCTGCATAGTATGATTTGTACATAATAGTCTATGACTCACTGAATTACATTAGACAATCAGGGGAAAGAAACTTCAAACAATTCCAACGCAGAAAAAGTTAGCTATTTTTAAGTTACATTGAAGTCAGTCAGCATAAATCCATTCTGGTGATTTTGTTCTATTAATGTAATGGGGAATCTGGAAAATCAAAAGTAGCTCCAATTACTAGCAACGTAATATATTATATACAATACAATACAAAAGAGAAAAAGCACTGACCCAAACGAATAACTTTGTAACAAACATATGACCTATTCTACAATATAATAGATAAAAGTAATTGTGGATCAGGAAGTAGAGAACTATTGCTCAGCTGAAAATATCCTCTTATAAGGTATTTAAAAGGACAGTGGCAGATCATTTGTTCTTGAAAGGTATGCATTATCCAGACTCATTTTAGTCAATTTTCAAGTTGTGTTTTGGCATTAAAACTGCCTTAAGTGTTGGGACAGATGACCTGGGGAAAGATGGGGACTGTAACTCTGTCCATCCTACTGGACTTCCTGTGGCTTTTGATAGCATCAATTATGGAATCCTGTGGAGTTTAGAGCTGGAGTTGAAGAAGTGTTCTTCAATTATTGTCCACCTGGACAATATCCAGTCAGCTCCAGAGCGTGGCTTTAGAGTACTTTTACCAGGCCCTTTGACTACAAAGGGGATCCCAGAAAGTTCCGATTTAACACCCATGCTGTTCAGCATCTTGGTAAAACACTAGATAAGAATATCAGGAGGTTTGGGGTTACGTGCTACCAATGTGCTGATGACATTGGAATCCTATTTTGTCATCAGAATCAGGTGAGATACTACAGATATGCGACTATGATTTCTAGCCTAGGGCCATAACTAGTAGACAAACAAGGTCTCAGGTAATAATTTACATCTCAAAACTTCTCACGCATTGAATCATTTTTAGCTCAAGCTCTAAAAATGAAGAGGGTTCCTGGAGATAGCCACATAACACTGCTGTATGTCATTATGCTCTTTCTTTTCTCTGCATAGAAGGTGGATAGTGTTATTTTGGAAAATAGACGAGCAAATTATGTATTTGCTTCTTTTCTCAGTTTCTTGAATAAAGGAAATCTAAGTACCTTAGACACTTAACTGAAAGGAGACTAACAATTTTGCTAACCCTTTTCTTTGCATTTTTCCATTAACTCCTATATACCATACTAGTTCTCAGATTGCTCCACATGTGGCAGATTTTTTTAAATTGTCCAAACTAAAATCCCAAATTTAATTAACAACTTCGGAACGCTACCTGAGGCTTAATATAAAGGAGATTCTCTTATCTTGATGTTCTACTCCAGAAATCTTCAAACTTGGCCGCTTTAAGACTTGTGGACTTCAACTCCCAGAATTCTCCAACTAGCTATGCTGGCTGGAGAATTCTGGGAGTTGAAGTCCACAAGTCTTAAAGCGGCCAAGTTTGAAGACCTCTGTTCTACTCTCTACCTTGCAAGTATTCTCACTATACAAGCAATCCTCAAACTTGAACAAACTCTTAACACTATGACTTCCTCTCTATAGTTAATCACTTCGGAGCATGTGACATACTCTCCTTTAGTTGGCTTTTCCGCCTTCCGGTCGGCTTAACGCTCTCCGAAGTTCTATTTCCGACCATTAGAGACTCTGCGTCTCCTCTCCTTCCTGTCTCTCTATGATACCCTGACGTAGAGATAGGAGGCCGGGTCTTTTTTTTTCTTTTTTTTTTCCGCCTAAGTTAGTAGGGAATGCGTTGTGTTGACCCTCCTACTGGACCGCTCTGTTTTGGGTTGTCCGTCTAGCTGTCTATGATTCTCTTAAAGGGGCCGCTTGGCTTCCAGAGCTGCGGGGTCCCGAGATGTTACTTACGGTGAAGGCGCTCCAGGGCCGGGAATGCAGCCTCCAGGTAGCCCTTCTTTCTTGCCGGGGCGGGGATCGCAGCGGATCGGCGCTGGGGGTTGGGGTTCTCCCGAGGGCAGAGGGAGGGGGCTTCCTGGAGGGCCCGGCCTCCCCTTGGGCCTTCTGCCGGGCAGGCAGGGCGATCGAAGCAGGCGGCGCTTCCGCTGTTCCGGGGGCAGCGGGTCCTTCTGGGCCTCAATCCTTTTCTCCTCTCCTCCTTTGACCGTGGGTTCCTTGGGTGCTTCCTGGAAGGAGAGCAGAGAAGACCCTCCCTGGCCCTCCTTCGGGAGCCTTTCCTTCCCAAGGCCCGGCAGCCCCTGCTTGACTCACAGCACTTTGGCCCGAGCTGGTGCCAGAGCTGCACTGGGCGGATTAAGAATCTTTTTTTAATTAAAAAAACAAAAACAAAAACAGGACCCACTCGAGACACCCAAGAGATTGAGGCTGGCCTGGATTTGCAGGATGGCTGACATTAATGTAATACTTACACCCTGCATCACAGGCCTTAAGAGGAGGCAGGCAAAGGCCCCACCGTTGTCAACTAGGTACGCTGGTAAATCCACCCTCTGCTTTGTGTGGCCCAGAAGGAGGTATTCAAAAGGCAAATGTCTCTAAAGGTGGTAGGCAGCCATTAGGACTAGCACCCAGTGATAGATAGATAGATATTTAGATGATAGATAGATAGATAGATAGATAGATAGATAGATAGATAGATACATAGATACATAGATACATAGATAGATACATAGATCCAGTGATAGATAGATAGATAGATAGATAGATAGATAATTTAGATACATAGATAGATACATAGATAGATAAATAGATAGATACATAGATAGATACATAGATCCAGTGATAGATAGATATTTAGATAGATAGATAGATAGATAGATATTTAGATACATAGATAGATACATAGATAGATACATAGACCCAGTGATAGATAGATAGATAGATAGATAGAGCCAGTGATTGATTGATAGATAGATTATTTCAATTTATGTAGTTGGTCATCTCAAATACATGACTTGAGAGCTTACAGCAATTAAAAATAGAATAACACAATATTATACACACACACACATACTCCAGGAGTTTGAAATCATATTTACATACAGGTAGACCTCGACAACCATTTCTTTTAGTGACCGTTCAAAGTTACAATGGCATTGAAAAATGTGACTCATGACCGCTTTTCACATTTGCAGCATCCCACCCATGATCATGTGATCAAAATTCAGATGCTTGGCAACTAGTTATGACCGTTGCTGTGTCCCAAGGTCAGGTGATCCCCTTTTGCAACCTTCTGACAAGCAAAGTCAATGGAGAAGCCAGATTCACTTAACAACTGGGTTACTAGTTTACCAACTGCAGTGATTCACTTAACAACTGTGGCAAGAAAGGTCGTAAAGTGGGGCAAAACTCACTTAACAAATGTCTCACTTAACAATATAAATTTTGGGCTCAATTGTGGTCATAAGTGGAGGACTACCTGTATATTATTTCAACTCGGAGATCTGTAGCCATAGTTTTTCCATGAACTACTAGGTTTTGAATCTCTTGTAAACTCCACTCTTAACAAGTAGAGGACTTTAGGTTCTGTCATTGTTTGAAACAGAGGAAAAGCACTTTCTTTCCTGTCATGCTTACTGAAACCATTAAGGGAATTTATGTAACCTAATACTTGGTCAAGTTCAAATTTGCTTACTTTGACCAAGGCAGATACAGTTTTCACCTTCACAGTTTTAACCAACCTTGAGCACAAAGTATTTCATATTGAAGTATTCAAATATTAATTTTTGTACTATTCTTTAAGAATTTCAAGTCTATATTCTCTGAGGTTCTTGCTCCAGTTGTTTAAGGGAAGGTCATATCTTTGTTACCGTCAATAAATTAAGAGATTTGGTGGGGGCAGGGGGGAAGCCAGAGGTTAAATGCAGTAGTGTTTGCAGTATTTAATGAGCTATGAAGTTTTATCCATAAATTTCCAAATCATAGTTTGCATTTTTCTCCCACAGAAAGGAGTGTTTAAGTCAAAAAGCACCAATAATATTTAATAGATGTTAATACTCTGCAGAAAATATCTATACTGAAAAAAATTGTATTTGCTAATTTTCTGTGCACCAGCCTCAACTCTATGGGGGTGGGGGGAAGTTTGCAGCCATAAATTAAATACAAAGTAAAATTATTCCTTTTCAAGTAGTTTGCTAATGGGGAAAACTTACCAGACCAGCTGCTGAAAGATAGGTATCCTTAGGGATGTATGTATTGCTAGGGCGTCTAGCAGGAGTTGAAAAAGCATTACTCAAGTCCCTCTCTCAGTTTCTTGGTCTTGTATTCTTTCAAATATAAAATTGAGACACACTCTTTGTAAGTCTCACCAGACAACATTCTCCCTTCTCAGGTCTCTCCTGATGAGCGCATCTCCTCTCTCAAGCGTCTTGTCTCAGAAAAGCTGAATGTCCCAATCTCTCAACAGCGCTTACTTTTCAAAGGCAAAGCTCTGGCAGGTGGGTGCCGAATGGTTAATCATAAGGCAGTTGGTGATACAGAGAGGGCAATCAGGTTCATCCAAGGTAGCAAGTATAAGACATCTCAAAAAGATGTCTCAAAAAGAAAGGTGCATGGATTCATTAAGAGGAATGAGACCAATAGTTTCTGTGACATCCAGTTTGACAGAGATATGAGAGAAACTAGCACACAATTTTGCAGGTTTATGGGACAGTAGTAGCTCCTACTTTCTGCCAGTCTCAAAAATGTACCAATGCAACTTGTCCTGATAGTTTTTATTTTTATACATATATATATGTATGTATGTATGTATGTATATATAATATTTTTATAAATTTTATACAAAATAAATATATATATTTATATAAAAAATTATATTTTTTATTATTATACAGAACAATTAAAACTCGGATCACACGTTTTCTGAATAGTTTTTATCCCAGAGCTATAATTGCACTCAGCAATGAACTAAAGGGCCACCATCAGTGAACTGTTGGACAGCATTACTTGGTCTGTTGTCTGGATGTTTGGGTGGTTTAGGGGTGGGGAATTTGTGGTGGGTGGGAGTGTGTTTGGGGATTGTTATGTGTGTTGGACCTGGTCTTTGGGTGTTAATTTTCTGTACAAAGCTTTTATCTGTAATTAAAGTAGTTTTATGGGCTGGCAGCATATTTCAGAGAAAGATAGAAGCTCCTCTGATTAGCCAGTTGCAAATGATACTCTGCTGTGTCATTATCTGGCTGGACATTTGTGACAGTATGGAAAATATTCTTTCATTAAATATTTACTTCATAATGCCCATTAAGAACTAAGGAGCCTCACCCTTGGAAGTTTATATGCTTTTTAAAATGGAATAATAGCAAATATCTGCTCTTTTTAGAAACTGGGCTAAATCTCACTAAATAGCAATAGCGATAGCAGTTAGATTTACATACCACTTTACAGTGCTTTACCAGCCCTCTCTAAGCGGTGTACAGAGTCCGCATATTTCCCCCAACAATCTGGATCCTCATTTTACCCACCTTGGAAGGATGGAAGGCTGAGTCAACCTTGAGCCGGTGAGATTTGAACTGCCGAACTGCAGCTAGCAGTCAGCTGAAGTGGCCTGCAGTACTGCACTCTGAAGAGAATATTATTTGGATTTGGAGAACGAAAGTTCACTTGTTCAGACTTGAAGTCTTATCTACTATTATAGAAAGCAGATGGGGTGATAATAGCCTCTGGTCCTCAAAATCTACAATTATTAAGTATGCGAACACATACTTAAGCTGTTGGTTATTTTTCACCACCAACATAGTAAGCTTTTGGAAATAAAATAGTCAGCCAAGCTTTTGGAAATAAAGTTTTGTTTATTCAGTGCAGGATGTCCTCTATTAGATCTGCTTTGAATTGATTGCTTTATGCTCTTGTCCACTCAGCAGCCCCTTCCTTTTTTCCTAGATGAACATCGTTTGTCTGATTACTCTATTGGACCTGAGTCAAAGCTCAACCTTGTGATCAAGCCTTTGGAGAAGGCATCACCTGAGGATCCTACCAGCAGAGCTGGCCTCCCACAGAGTTCAACCATCTGGCACATGCTGGCCCAAATCCTGAGCAGGCATTACACTGTGGCTGATACTGAGAAAGTGCTGGAGCAGGTACAGAAGGTAAATTTTCCTTTCTATATGAATGGAAGTATAGTGGGGAGATCTCTAACTCTGATAGCATTGTGCGACTCTGTTTGTAGGCATGCCAACATAACCACAATGTAGCAGTAGTAGAAGGTTACATGGGTATTAGAATAGTTTTGAAAGGGCTCAGCAAATTTAGGCCTCTTAAGAAGAGAGGGATCGGTCCCAAGAGTCCACTAGAAAGTAGGAAAAAAAGAATCAGATGGGGTATTATTTGGGGGCAGGGAGAGAATTGTAAATAAAAATAAGTTCATTCATACCTAGAACTTATTATTGAATTTTATCTTGCATGTTTGCACTAGGACATAATGTCTGGCCTGAGAAGATTAAAGTAGCAGAACAGACATATTTTAATTGAGGTCTCCCGAGTTAAAATCGATCACTCTATTTAAAGAATAGCATTATGTTTACTTTTTGTAGCTTTCTACATAATATAGAAAGAGGCCATATATCCACCATTAGAAGTACTGCTACAGAGCAGGAAAGTAATCTGTCTGTTTCCCTCTTTATTCAGCCTTTAGAAACCTGGGTTCTTTTTAACCTTCTAGAGCAGGGGTGTCAAACTCAAGGCCCGCGGGCTGGATGTGGCCTGCGATGTGGTTGGATGTGGCCCACAATGTGGTCAGATCTGGCCTGCGGGGCCGTCCTGGAAAATGTAAGGGGCCAGCCCACGTTGCTTCGGTCTGGTCTACCTGCATCGCTTCAGCCCTGTCTACTCAATGCAAAGAGGAAACATCGGGCCAGCATGGCTTCGGTCCAGTCTACCCAATGCAAAGAGGAAACATGCCAGCAGTTTGGGGAGTGGCATCAAGCTGGCCACACCCACCCAGTTGGCCACGCCCACCCAGCCCCCCTCACCCCCGAGGTCAACCATAGCCCTGATGTGGCCCTCAATGAAATTGAGTTGACACCCCTGTACTAGAGTCTGCCCAGTTGCTCATGAACCTGCTTCCTCTTTTTATCCAGAGATGAGGTAATAATAATGAGGTAATTGTAGAGCATGAGATAGCTCATACAATGGCAGAGCAAAGCTACTTTCAGGTTCCAACACCAGAGCATCCACAATATCCAGGTTTTGCTGTGTGGGAATGAACAAAGCTTACGGTATGTTTTGTAAGTACGTGCTGGTTACCAGGCACCCAAATTGTGATTGCACAACTGTGGTGATACAGCAATGATCGTAAGCGTGAAGACCGAGGACGGTTCATAAGTTGCTTTTTTCAGTGCCATTGTGTCTTCAAGTGATCTCTAAACAAATGGTCCACTCGACCATTGTATTTCTTGGTGATTTCCCATTTCAGTGCTAACCAAGTTCAGTCTTGTTTTGCTTTCTAAAGTCAGCCAAAATCAGCTATATGCTGCCACCTAGTTGTTCTCAGGGGAGGAAATGCAAAGAATCTTTCCTGGACCATCTTCCCAGGAATTTTAGGATTGCAGCCTCAGTGGCTTTAAATGTATTTGCATTAATGCATACACCAGTGTCTGTCTGTCTCTCTGTTTTTATTTGGAAATGTTTTGGCCATTGCCCAACCATTTTATTCAGTCCTTTCTCTTCCTCTCCTTCCCTTCTCTAGGATTATGAGCGGAGCCTTCGATTGCTGAGCCTAGATGACATAGAGCGTTTAGCCACCCGCTTGCTTCATCCTGAAGTAGCGGAGGCTGTGGAAATGGGTTTTTTGGATTAGCTGCTGGTGAATTGAGCCCTATTCATCACTTTGGACAGTAAACCCCTGGGCAGGGCCCAGTTTGGGGCCTAATGCGAGTGATTTCTCTGGACTGCTGTTAAAGGGTCACGGAGCATATGTAACTTCTCCCCATCAATTAAAAGTGGTGATAGGTGAGATTAATCTGTTCTGTCTAGTATGTTCAACAGATGGCATTCTTTAGAGAAATTGTTTGCCTTTTCTTGAGAGACGCAGTTACCTTTGCAGTTGAGGGTGGCTTTGTTTATATTTGAATTTCTTGTTTAACCCCAAAGCCTGGTTGCATCTAATAGACTCCTTTTTTATTGTTTTACTCAAAGGCTTTTCTGGCCATAAAAGTTCACTGAAGCTTCCAGGCAGAAAATCAAATCTGAATAATACAAATTTGAATTATGACTTTTCAAAACTAGCATTGATACTCTCCAGAATGACTACGCAAGCTTTGACAATGTAAGGGACTTATTCCGAGTCCCCTGTTTAATTAGCATTGTTAGATAGGAAAACATTTGTCAGATATTTTAGATTGTTAAATGTTTCAAGAAACAAGATAACTGAATGTTAATCAGATGGCTAAGCAGTGTTTACTGGCAGAGATCTGCATATATTCTGTATGTTTAATATTTCTTAGGTAGATCAATTGAGCCCTTGTAGCAATGCATTCAGCTGCAATCCAGAGCACACCTAAATTTGCTGGTTCACTGCCCAAAACACCCTTCCCCAAATTAAGTGCAATCCAGATGTGTGGTAGGGTTTTTTCAACTTCCAGAATTCCCAATCAACATCTGGAGAGCACTTAATTTGGGAAGGCTGGGCTCAGGAATTGTTAGAATAAGGCAGCAGATGTCCCTAGAAAAGCAGATCTACTGCCTTGGCTAAAAGCCAGGCCTCTCTATCTAAGCCCTCCCCTTTCACCTGGTAGTATTTTTTATTGCAGATCCTGAAAATGGGGTAGAGTTACAAGTTGATTATGAGCCACACAGAGAAGGATTGTGTCTATGACCCCTTATTTTTATTGATGTATCCATATTCCTGAGTTATACAAGAACAGGATTTGGTTAAGTAATTATTGACTCCAATGAAAGAAGAAAAACAAAAGACCTCCTACTAAATTTGTCTGTGGTGTTTTCTTATCCTTACGGAGATGGTTTAAATGAAGCAGACAAAAGTATGGTATATCCAGCCTTCCATGAAAATGTGACTTATGATTGCTCTTTAAATCATTGATAAATGAACCTCACTTTTAGAATTATGTTTTAGTAATCTGTCCATGCCATGCTTGATTTTACATGTCTCAATCAGGTTCCTCCAATGTCTCTTGTTTTTTAAGATAGGATCTCAAATGCTGTAGCCTATTAAAAAAAATCAAACATGGTTATCAGAATTGTCTGGAATATTACAGATGTGGATGCAAGGGTATTAAAGTTTTGGCAGTTTTACTTTGATCTTTTTTGCAACAATCCATAATCCGGAATGTGCTTCTTGCATATTTCTGCATAACTCACACTGAATCAGCATCTTTATTGAGCTATCAACTGTGTCTCTGAGATTAGCTTTTAAGGGCTCAAACCACAGCCCTTACAGAAAATGGTGAATGTAATTATTTTTTACCTTCTAACAAAAATGGGAGCTTCTCATAAGTTTTCCTACTGGTGGTGAAATAATACAGGCTTGGTCACCCGGAGCCATATTTTTAGAATGGAATAAAAAACAGAGCTGGGTGTTTTCCACAATGCTGTAATCTCAACAGTATTCAATACCACAAGTTGAAATGGATGCTGTACAGCAAGAACTAAGCTCTGCTTTTGATTAGAGCAATGGCACTGGGAGGTGGAAAATTCTCTGCTGCTGCTTCCTGCCACAATACTTAATGCCATTATGTGATCAGTGTTTCCTCCACCAAATACCACGCTATGAATGCCTAATTTAGGAAATTACTAAAAGTGCTGTATTGCAGTTGTGTGTTTGTGTGTGTGCACATATGTGTGTAAATATTAAGAAATTCAGGAGTAGTAAGAACTCTTGATTTGTGCATATGTGGTAAAGGGAAATAGTAACACTTAGTATTCCACCTCTGGAGGCACTTTTCCAGATCTCCTACATCATATATGTTTCAACTGCAGGATTGCATCCACATTCACATGCATAAGCTATATAGTAAAGTTTATACAGTAGCTTATGTGGCAATGGCAATTCAGAATAATCAGCAAAATGTCTTCACCTTAGGTTTCCAGGATCAAAAGTAGTAGCATTATAATAGTATTAATTATGGTCTCAGGTTCAATAGTAACTAGACCAGTGTAGCTTTTTTCCTTTAGAGTTTAGACCTTTGAATGGATTGGGTCTGAAACTTTAAAAATTCCCACCCAGCATTTGGAGAGACCTAAATTGGGAGAGAAAAAAATCAATTGATGACGGTGTTGCCGTCATCATTATTGCATTAAGCCAAATATTCATTTGTTTGGGCATATGGTGTAATGTATGGTATATGTGTTTGCATGGGTTTAGTATGTGGTGTGAGTCAGACACAGAGGGGGAAATGGAGCCCGGATGAGAACATTAGGGTAGCATTGAAATACAGGAGAACCATAGGGAAAAAAAAGAATGGTGTATGAAAAGGGTCAACAGCTTGATATACCCAAATATTTGAACTTTGGCTTCCAGTAGCCCAGCTTGTATAACCAATGTCAAAGAATGTATTGGGATCTTGGTGCTACTTATTAAGCCTTTCACGTGTGGAATCTTTCATGACTCTACTGTTTATTTTTTGGTTCTTTGAGGGTTTTTTTTTTAAAGGAAAAGGTATAGTTTGATTAAATAGGAACTAGAGGAAGCAAGGTTGTATCTGTTCACTAAGTGACTCTCCAGAGAATGAGATTCAAGCAGATGGCTCTTTAATACCTTTCTCCCCAATAATCAGCTTCAGTTTAATTGTAGCAACGTTTTTCCCTTATGCACTTTAGCCGCAGAGCCCAATTCATATTGTTTTGCTTTTGGTACAGGAGTGAGCAGCTGAGATGTGCAAAGGGAAACATTATCAAAGCTGTCAGGGTTACAGATCTTGAGGTATTTCACTGGGTGGAAGTGATAAAGAGTCCTTTGCTAGAGACTGGGTAGAAGCAGGGGTGAAATCCAGCAGGTTCTGACAGGTTCTGGAGAACCAGTAGCGGAAATTTTGAGCAGTTCAGAGAACCAGTAGCAGAAATTTTGAGCAGTTCAGAGAACCAGTAGCGGAAATTTTGAGCAGTTCAGAGAACCAGTAGCAGAAATTTTGAGTAGTTCAGAGAACTGGAAAATACCACCTCTGGCTGGCCCCAGAGTGGGGTGGGAATGGAGATTTTGCAGTATCCTTCCCCTGCTATGCCCACCAAGCCACGCCCACCAAGCCACACCACGCCCACCAAGCCATGCCCACAGAACTGGTAGTAAAAAATTTGGATTTCACCACTGGGTAGAAGGCAGGTGATGCACATAATAAACTTGGAGTGCTCTCCCTCCTCAAGGGACCAAGTTTTGGCCTCTGGATTACCGGATAACTTTCCTGTACAATGGTTAATTTAATATATGACCCTCAGTGTTTATCTCCTGGAACAGAACAACCTACTCTGTAGTGTGTCAGTGTTGTGATTGCATTTTCAGATCAGATCTGTACTAATGGGTTATTTATTTATTTTTATCCTGCCTTTATTATTTTTACATATAACTTAAGGCAGCAAACATATCCTCCTTATATTTTCCCTATAACGGCAGCCCTGAGAGGTGAATTGGGCTGAGAGAGAATGACTGGTCCAAGGACACCCAGCTGGCTTGCATGGCTAAAACAAGACTAGAACTCACAGTTTCTGGTGCACCCACACAGTAGGAAGGGAAGACATGGCTGCAAATGTCTGGAGATGCAGCATTTGTTTCATGTCTTGATTAAAAGTAGAAGCATTTAAAATAATACTCTGAATGGAAACTACACTTTTTGTTCAGACCTTTCATTGTGCCATGATATAGTTGTATAAGAACTGTATTCCTGCGGGTACTGGGTTCACAAAATCAGAGACAATTTTGCCCTGGGATCAAAAAAAGTGGCTTAAAAATAGTTGAAATATGAAGTGGATGGGATAATTATAAGCAGCTGCATCTTCAGTTACATAAGCTGTAGTATCTTTTCCTGGATTTTGGGCAACCTTGGTAGCTATTTTTCTAAACTAACTTTGAAACTGTAATTTTGCCTCAGCCTTTGGGTGGGACGGGAGTCACAAAAAGAACCTTGATTGTATTCTAAATGCTTATATGCTCACAGAGAAAAATTAACGGCAAAAATCCAGCAAATGCAGGTTGTTATACCAATATGGCCCAGATTTTAACAATTTTACTTTGATGTCAAATCACTTACTCAGTGAGGTAGTCACTTTTTAAGTCACTTCAAAGTCAAGTCCATGGAACCTACATATTCATTTTTATACAAACGTGTTTGTGTTTCCAGTAAGGACTTGAAAATGTGAATACTGTAGATCTACACAGGTCTAACTCTGCAGACAGAATGTTTGTATCAACTCACTTCCTGTCAGGCCTAATATTTTCTAACAATTCACACATTCCATAATAAGAAAGAACTGATTTTTAACTGTAATATCTATGAATAACTTGTGTATGTGAATGGCCATCATAGATGTATTACCACAAATGGAACTTGCACAATGCCTCACAATGATTCAAAGGCAAACTTTTCCAGCATTTCCTATTCATATATTCTGTTTCCTCAGAAGGGGATTCATACATGGATGCTTGTTACCTGAATTATGGGAATGGGTAAACAGAGATACAAAAATCAAAAAACTGATACCTTAGAACATTGTGTTTGGGTGGGGAATCCATTAGAATCCTTGGCCTCAAATCACATAGCATTAAGCAGGGTTGATTCTGTCATCATCCCAACTAGCTAGAAAAATCAGATGATGAGAAATGGTTTGGCATAGTTCCTAAAATGCTGTTTTTTTTTTTTTTTTAATGGCAAAGATTCAAGTTACAGAGTCACTTTGATCTCAAAATGGGAAGTGATACATGCCTTTTGAAGGTGCTTTCCTGTTAAAGATAACACACATTGATGCCAAGAGATAAAACTCCCATTTATATTCTGCTTTATCCCTAGGTATCAAGGCAGATTTATTTTGGAACATGAAAATGTAAACTACAACAGCTACTGTTTGAAAAATGTAGTTTGGTCCCAAGTCTGTTTGGTGCCTTATTTATCTCTCCTCACTCATTCATTCATCGACACTGTCTTGGTTCACACAGACGTATCTACTGTTTAATTTCTTAGTACATGATCCCAGCATCTCTGGGGCTAGTTGACAAGGGTATAGAAATCATGGCCAAGACGGATTGAATTATCATAATTGCCTTCAATACAGTATTTTATTTCCAAAGGAATCGGTTTGCATATTCAAGAGACAAGTTGTCAGAAAACTCAAGCAATTGATAGCATGATCATGAAGAAGACAGCAGTCTAGGGAAAACTTAAATTGGTTAGATGTTTATGGTGTGCCACATTTAAAATGCGGCACAAAAATATAAAATGAAAGCCTGTTTGGTTTAGCAGTTAAAATGCTAGATTAGAATCGAGGAGACGGTGAGTCTAATCCTGCCTTATAGATATGAGTGACCTTGGGCTGGTCACTCTCTCAACCCTAGGAAGCAGCCAAGGACAAACCACTTCTGAAATCTTGGCAAGAAAACTGCAGATATTTGTTTTTGTGGTCACTGGGAGTCAAGGTGACTTGATGGACTAGTAACAAAATGCAAAACATGATAGAAATTCTGCCTTCCGGATTATAGCCTTAAGAAATGTGGAGGGAAAGGTTTTATGATTTAGGGTTTACCATTTTTATCTTGCGTGCCATGGGTTACATGCCATTGTTGATGCTGTTTGATCTTTGTTTGCTGCCCAGAGTCCCTGTTGTGAGCTTGACAGTTACAATTAATCTAAATAAATAAAAATAGGTCCTACATGAAAGAGAACGGGTTTGTTGCCCAAAACAACTGTAAAGATTTAGCTGAGTTAGACATAGCAGAGAATAACTGTTGAAACTGATGAGGTTGGGTATGGTGTTAGCATTTCAGAAAGCAGCTAATCTGGATTGCTGTTTCTAGTATTTTTATTATTAGAGTTTTTTTAAAATCCCACCTTTATATAACTCAAGGCAGCAAATGTATCTGATATGCCTGCCTCCTATTTTCTCCACAACAACCTTCTGAGGTGGGCTGGGTTGAAAGATAGGAACTGATCTGGCTTTCGTTCCAAAGGCAAAACTAGAACTCAACTCTCTTCGTTTCTAGGCCGGCATCTTTACCACTGCACCCTTCTGGCTCTCCTTTTTTAACCTGCCTATTTTTTAAAATTTAATCTCTATATTTTAATTTACATATCACATTTTGTAAATATTAAAGT